CTTACATAAGGAATGTGTCTGAAGTCGTTGAAAGACACCTAAGGAAGCACCAAATAAAAGTGGCGCGCAGGCCAACGATTACTTTACTCACTCAGCTTGTGCGCCCTAAAGATATGGTTGGTTATCTCACCAAGAATAAAGTCGCCTACAAGGTCCCATGTGATGCCTGTGATGCCGTATATTGTAATCCAACGGGAAAATCAGCCCCCACACGAAAACTGGTGCAGACGACAGCACGTTTGGAATGTTAATTGTTTTTGCCCATTTGCTCAAGTCTGACGACGACCTTGGATACCGGCATCGAAAATTTACTTAATAAAATATTCCATTTTCTCCAAAGCACTACTCGCCTTCAAATTGTATTTCTTGGCATGCCTACGTTTCAACCGAACTGTTTCTTAAAGCCTTCTTCACGTTTGACGACCAGGTTTACGAACTGACTAGCTGATGATAGCTAGTAGGCCAAAAATAACATTCCGGCCTAGATGGTCTTAGTCGGTGGCATACAGACTACCTACACTACCGGTTACTGTGCGACTGCCCTTGAGGGTTTTGCTTCACCCCCAAGACACACCGGGACGAGCTCGTTCGCCAACCTGGTCGGTGAGGGTCCCTATATATATATTATGACAGATGGGCGCTCACCGATCAGGTTACAGAACATGCTCGTTCCGTTGTGTCATGGGGCTCATACTTAAATCCTCGCAGGCAGTCGCACAGCGACTAGTGGTATATGTTGATAAGGTGACACCGACAAAGACAAGGGAGACAGGAATGGCCATTTCTGGCTTATTAGCCGTCATCAGCCAGTCATACCCAACCCCAAGTGTGGATCACTTGAGATTCGAACCCGGGATCTTTGGTCATGGTGTTTGACGCTCTACCATTGAGCCACGGGCCCGTTGTCCCGTCGGTTGTGATCGGGAATATCAGTTATGACAGATGGTGCTCACCGATCAGGTTACAGAAAATGCTCCTTCTGTTGCGCCCATCTGTCATAATTGATATTCCCGATCACAATCGACAGGACAACGGGCCCGTGGCTCAATGGTAGAGCGTCAAACACCATGACCAAAGATCCCGGGTTCGAATCTCAAGTGATCCACACTTGGGGTTGGGTATGACTGGCTGATGACGGCTAATAAGCCAGAAATGGCCATTCCTGTCTCCCTTGTCTTTGTCGGTGTCACCTTATCAACATATACCACTAGTCGCTGTGCGACTGCCTGCGAGGATTTAAGTATGAGCCCCATGACACAACGGAACGAGCATGTTCTGTAACCTGATCGGTGAGCGCCCATCTGTCATAATATATATATAGGGACCCTCACCGACCAGGTTGGCGAACGAGCTCGTCCCGGTGTGTCTTGGGGGTGAAGCAAAACCCTCAAGGGCAGTCGCACAGTAACCGGTAGTGTAGGTAGTCTGTATGCCACCGACTAAGACCATCTAGGCCGGAATGTTATTTTTGGCCTACTAGCTATCATCAGCTAGTCATGACCAAATATTCCGGGTATGAGTCATAGGTGGTGATGATGACGATGATGATGCTGATGAGGATGATGATGATGATGATGATGATGATGATGATGATGATGATGATGATGATGATGATGATGATGATGATGATGATGATGATGATGATGATGATGATGATGATGATGATGATGATGATGATGATGATGATGATGATGATGATGATGATGATGATGATGAAAATAATGACTAATAAGCCAGAAATAGCACTCCAGTCTCCTTTGTCTTTGAAGGTACGAACATATCGACGTATATATGCATGCATATAACAGAAGCGGAAGTGCATTTCGTATGTACACTGATATCTAATGCTACAAGGAAGAATGAGTTACATCAAAGGGGCATTACGTCAACACAAGAGGTGATACAGACTCCCCTACGCGTCAGAGGCGTAGTGGTAACGACAATTTCAGCGCCACTCTCGTGCCCAGGTTCGATCCCGTCCCGAGGCGGATTTTTTCCCTTCAAGACTGACATTTATTTCTGCCCTGACGATGTCCGATTATAACCCGTTATATACCGCCACATGCAAGCCAATGCTGCCCGCATTTTTCTAATATTATTTTTTAGCGAGGGTTCTTTTCTCCTGTAAAATTAATCCAATCATTTTTAAATTTCTATGCGGAGTTTTTTTTCACCTCGCCCTAATCATTTTTTCATAACGGACTACTTATTCAGAAACCATGAATTGCATTTTGTACAGATTTTGCCTACCTCGTCTAAAACTCTCATTTAAATTTATTTTTACTTTATTTACTTTATTTATTTATTAGTGAGTTATTTATTATTATTATTTATTATTCATTAAGTTATTTACTTTATTTATATTTACTTTTGCTTTGATGGGACCCCGATGGGACTTTAATAAAAATTATTATTACTATTATCATTATTATTACCCGCTGTGAGCATCCGCAAGAGTGGCTGTGGGAAGTGCTAACTCACAGAGTGAGTTGGACGAATGTTACCAAAGGGGAGTCGGCGGATGTAGAGGATGGGGTAATGGATATCTTCATCTACACGCACGAACACCTTCTCCGTCCTGGATCCGCGGCAAGTCTCTGCTCAATTCAAGCAATTCAGTCCAAATCATGGCGCATTAGAGATTCACGTGCATTCCTGCAGACGTTCGGATAGCGGACACGATAAAGCCTTCCGTTCTCCGTTTTAATATAGCTAAAGTACATTCCCCAACGATATACCCAATCAACAGTGTCTATTGTAGAAGCCTATGCCGAGAATGAAAGGCACAGGCAACCACGGCCTTCAAGCGCGGTCCGGAAACGAAAGAGAGGATGGACGCCAGTGGAAAGGAAAATATATTCTGTATAGAATAATTAGACAAGGGTTAGAGAGAGTTGGCAGCCGGGCGAGGGCACGTCCGGCACCAAGTGAGTGGCGTCCTAAATGTTCGAGGAAATGCGTCAAAGCGTCTTAAGCCAGGACACGTCTGACTCAGCCCTGAATTTGATTGACCATTTGGACAGCCGAGTGCATAAATGCCAGATAACCCTAGTGCGCACGTGCAGACAATCGCAAGAGGTCCAGCGTTGAGATAAGCGCTCAGAATAGGGACACTACAAGCCTCTGAAGATCTTACTGAAAACCATTTTCACAAAAACCTTCAGGAAATTCGTCGAAGCTTGCCTTAAATCTATAGTCAGACCTTGAGACGCTGGGCACAATGGAATTTTGACTCATTCGAAAGGGTTCTGAGTCCAGCTACCAAATTAGTCGACGATCAAAAAGATAATAGCATGCTAGGCCTGAATAGGTAGATATTTCCTCATCTGGATCATAGGTACTTGCGTGAGGTCTTGATACAAACCTCCCGTACTGTACGGAGGTTGGACTTCGCACTCCCGTGTGATGACTTTGTCCAGTAAGCCACCACGGCAAGCCTTCGTGCGATGCCTCTAAACCGTACATGTATGAAGGAAGACTTGGCACGGAAGAACACTTTTCGAAGCTTGTGGTGGAAACATGCCTGTGGTGATTACAATGTAACAGTCTATGAACATCCCTAAAAACGGCCTTAACAGAAGTATGTCACCACAATTAACGAAATGCACAATTAAGTACACTATGAGTAAATAGACTTGTGAGAAATTAAGTGTGGTACCACTGGTAAACGTGATTGCCTTTTTATCATTACTAATACTTCCGATATTCAAGTGATATTTAGGTACTCTCACATTGTAATCCACATCTCTGATTAACATGTGACTTGGTCAAACTTTAGAAACCTGCATTTTTCGTCTTCAGTATGTTTGACAGTGTTTTTTGTTTTACGAAGGTTGAATTTTCGTGGACGGAGCGAATCAGTTGGCTACCACACCTGCTCGGTCTTTGCGGCTTCCTTCTTCACGTGATCGCTATGATGATGTCTCCAGGATTTATGGTTGCACCCGAGAAGAAGAAATCCGAGAAACAAAACTTTTTCATGAGGTTATACGAGGACGCGTACAAATGGTAGGGTAGTAACCATTCTGAGATATCTGTCACATCGTAGGTCCCTTATCAAAAGCACGGCATTCTTCGGCTTTGGGATCTTTACGTTCTTCGTAATTCAGTCTGAATTTACAGCGCCCTCGGAGTCTCTTTAATGGGTCTTTTGATTTGCAATACAACGTTCGTTTGTACTTTGGCTTCTTTTATTTATTATAATAAATAGTCCCAGTAATTATTGGGATGTGACATTGACTTGACGGTTTATCATTAGGATGTCCAAACCGGCTGTCCATTCGTCATTTGAGTCACTTGAGCGATGCCGTTCTCGTCTTTTGGAGCGTCGTCGGCGACATACAAAGTTGCGTCAGTTAATACTTCAACATTTAACTGGCGAGGCGCGTGAGCCTCCACTCTACGAAGATGTAGACACTTCCCTGAAAGAGCTGCTATTTCGGCTCTACCTCTCACGGCGTCTATCTCAGACTCTCGGACTTCATCGTAATCGACTTCACTCATTCAACGAAAGTCCCAGATGGAAAAGTCTTGTATTGTCAGTTTCCTTGGTTTTCTTAACTGTATACTCATTTCGACCATGTTCTTGCAGCCCGTTTGTAATTCATAAGGTTTGCAAGTCTTTTATCTTAGGATGTGCCTCAAATCGGGTGTCTATGGTAGAACTCGCCGACAAATTGCTCCTAGTTATTTCGATCTAAACACAAAGGTTTTTTTGGGGCTTGTTATGTGAGTGCTTGCAACGTCCTCTATTACACTTTTTGACGGCACCCAGTCTCTGCTTCTAACGCTAGCCCCGGTTTCACCCATTTCTTAAGTTGGTTCTGCGCATGCTTCGATATTTGATTCAGTGAGGATCTATTCCGGCGACTTTCACGCGGAGTTGTTTGGTAGAAAGCATATTTGTTTTCTGGACCAGGAATCCATCCTAACAAATATGTGAAAGTACCCACTATATTCAATGGGCGAACTTCTGTTTTGTTGTGTATCTAGGCTTTCCCAACCGCTATGTTCATTCAGGTAGACCGGCTGCCCTTGGATTAGTGTAGCTCATTATTCGCCTCTGGGCCAGATAAGCTAAACCACTCGTCAATTGGGTGCCGAACATCACTGTGGGTTCCGGACACCGCCGCAGTTTTTTTAATCCTCGAACGCGTGTCTTATGATCCACGAAGCTCATGGCTTCTGTGAAGTGATACTGTCTTTATAGTTATTCACACCAGATGTATACGATTTCCGCCCCAATATACTGTATGCTGATTGGCCACGCGTCTCCTATTTATTTATTGATTTCTACAGTTGTATTTTTCGTTAATGTCTTCCGTGATCTTCCTTATCTGTTCATATCTATTAGTGCGCCTCCCTGATTTTTGTTGGTCACCATAGTTAACCGTAACTTTCTCGATATGGATGTAAAAATTTCATTTAGACGATAATGAACAACCTTGCAAGTGCCATCTGTTCATCTTTATCAGCCCATTCTGTCTGGCAAATTTTGTACGACAGTCAAAAAGAGAACGAGTAATAAATGTGCACGACTGCTTTATGGTGGTTGTGCGAGATAAGTCTAACATAACATCGCTATTGCCGACGATTCCATAGGGTCGCAAACGGCGGCTAAAACTGGTATGTTATGGAATCCTCAACGACAGTGCGTGCAGAGCGTTTTACTCCACTCAATTACTTTGAAAGATTATGATTTTTTCTAACCAAGGTAATCCTCTGACGAACATATTTCCTTCCGCTTCTGGGTCTGTCAGACTGGTATGTACCGCCTCGGGGGATGAACGCCCGGAACATGTAATGCATACTGTCCTCAACGGAGGTTATAGAGATATAGTATTTG